AGCTTTATAGCATAGAAAGTGGATACAAGACTTACTTATATCTGCAAAGCTCACTATTTCATAGGCTTGATCTCTGGTTGGTATATTGTTTTCTAGTTCAAGGGTACCATCCTGTCTGACGCGCCCCGAGTGAAGTTTGCGCAGCGCCGTGAGGAGCGCGACCCGGGGCACGGTGTGAGTGATGTTTGGTTTCTCTTTCAGGTGCAGTTTGTCCAAAAGTTGCTGCTTGGCGAATTCTATCATCATCCTTTCCTCTGCGTCCTTATCCATCGCTGACAACCTGCAAGACGCGCAGCCCGGGGAGCCACTGACCCAGAGACCCTTAAACAGCAACGGTGCCAACAGGAGGAACGCTGAGAGTGACAAAGACATGGCCATCTTCGATCTTAAAGGAAATAACTGCGTATTTGTACTCGGGCTGAGGTAACTAATAAACGTCTAGACTTCTAAACTGGACAACCAATAAAAAAATCTTCAAATCCTTCCCCTTCTGAGTTGTTCTTTGCGAAAGAAAGTCTCCCAAACGTCAGAGGTCCTTGTTGGTAGCTCGTGAAGAGAGCTGAGTGATGTTTCACCCTCCTGATGGTAAAGATATCTGGGGTAATCCACCAAAACTGGTGACACGTTGGAAGGATGCACCAATGAGCGCATCGGGAAGCTTGGAAATTACTGGCAAAACACCTCTGTCCTCTCTCACAACACACGCACGGACACACGCAACAAACAAGCACGCAACACGCGTTCACATGTAGGTTACTGTCTCACAGTCACTGCATACACGTGCTACATGATATCACACGCTGCTTTAGATTAATTACTACGCAAGTCCATGGCTGGTTTGGACACATATCGGGAAAGCCCGATAAGGTCTTGAGTTTATCACAACAGGTATTTTCTGTGCCACGTTTCTCCACTTCAGTGCCACTGATACGTAACCTGCCAGCGCACTTGTCGATCAAAGTTGAAATTCTCTGCCCTTTAACCTACTTACAGAATATTCGTGTCCCACAGACACCAAGCAATTGAATCCGTGGGCTTTAGCTTAACCTGACCGAAAACACTCGAGGATATGAGGCGGAAAGTTTAATGCGGTATTTGAAACACGTTCCGTCATGTTTCCTGCAAGGTGTCATAATGTCGTGCAGTAAAACGATGCCTCGTGTGTATGTGTGTGTATGTGTGTGTTTGAAGGAGAGAAAGAGAAAGCTGGGAAAAGGCGAACCCTGCCTTCATGTCGGTACATGATTTGTCTGTCTGGGTTCTCACAAAAGTGCTGAGCCAGCTTGACATGGTCTACTAAAGATAACGCTGTCAATAAGCCGGACAGTGTATGCACTTAAATAGGCAAAAATACGTTAAAGTGACCCTCTTTTCATCATGTCGGGGTCCAGGTCCAGTGTGAGCAGGAAAAACAATGACTTCCACAATCATTTAACACATAAACTACATGCATATGCACATGGAAATAATAGTTGTGAAACAGATTATCCTAAAGCGGTCACGTGTTGATTGTGCGCACATCTCCACAAACATAAACTGTATGGATCACAACACGGGTTGCACGCATTTTTATTTCTTTTATTTTCTTTGTGTTCACGTTTAGTGTTAAATGTGAGTCAAGGCCTTATCATGTTAAAGGAGTACTTGCCTGCCCACGTGTGGGGCATTTTGAGAATTACAACTGACCTCACCAGGTGGTGTCAAAGAATGTGCCCAATATATTTGAATAATTTAAACGTAAAGTTAAATCAAATAAACACGTTACATGTATTACCTAGAATTGTCAGTATTTTTCCCAGGGAGGTTTGAAAAATAAGGTTAAAACCAGCATATTTTTAACTACTGCCGTGAATACAAATAATATATATATATATATCTATTGATATTAAATGTTTATTAGATAGACTAGATGTTAAAGGCTATAAGAAGAAAAATATCATCTTAAGAAATGTGAAATCGTTACATTTTATAGTATTTAAACAACTTTGAATGACACATCTCCTACAGAAGTGGACAGCTGTCAAATTACATCCCAGTAATAGAATTTCAAACATACATCACTGAGATGTAACGAAACTGCAAATTACATTTTAACGCTTGATGCACAAAACAAAGTTCTCATGCATCCTGTAGGCTACGTATCCGTACGACTAGGAGGTACGCCGCTGACGTCAACTGTCGGTGAGGGGAAAAAAGTGACGCTAACACACACAAGCCGGAGCCCTGACGGGGGAATAGCGTTTTGTTTCTTTTTTCTTTAGTTTTGTGTCATTTATTCTTTAGGGTTTTGTTGTTATTTAGCAGTATTCCTGCGTCGGACTCGACCGCCGTGTTCTTCAGCGCTTGCTATCTCGCATTAACGTCCATGCTGCTCTCCCCTCACGCGGCGCTATTTTGACAGTCGGGGTCGCGGTGAGCCAACTCAAGCTAGCAGCACCATTATATTAGCATCGGTAAGTCATTTGGAAAGCTTGCTAACCGTACTAGCTAGCACCTTCTATTTTGAGACCTGACAG